GAGATGTTAAGATCATTTTTATTTTTAGGATTGTGTGAACCAAAATAATTACCAGGTGACCATAAAGATGAGTTATAGATTCATCGATAAAGACATTTATTTATTATTATTTATTTATTTATTTATTTATTACACAATGCCAGGCATTGTGCCAGGAGTTGAAATACAAAAATCAATAAGATACAAAAGCAGAGCCTGGCACGGTGACTCATGTCTGTAATCCCAGCACTTTGGGGAGCAGAGGTGAGAGGATTGCCTGAGTCCAGGGGTTCGAGACCAGTCTGGGCAACTTGGCAAGACCTCATCTCTACAATAAATCAAAAATATTAGCCGGGCATGGCATCATGTGCTTGTAGTTCCAGCTACTTGGAAGATTGAAGCAGAAGGATCACCTGAGCCCAGCACGTCAAGGCTGTGGTGGCTGTGAGCATGCCACTGCACTCCAGCCTGGGCGATAGAAGGAGACTCCAATAAAAATTTTAAAAAATACAAAAGCATACAGTCTATTGGGGAGAAAAAAGTAAACAATAAATTACAGCTCATTATGATAAAGCTATGTTCAAACTCTGTGGTAAGACAGAGCTTTTGCTGACTTTTTTTTTTTTAATTTAAACTTGCTTCTCCTAGAGCTGAAATGCTTTAACCAGATGGGGTAAGTAGGAGGGTTTTGTTTTTGTCGTCTGAGAAAGCAATGTTCAAGCTAAATCCCAGAGGTTCTGATAAGTAGAAATTAACTATGGCAGAGAAGGAACAAGGATTTTATCCACTAAAACCCTTGTTCCTCCTTGGAATAACAGAGTTGTTCCTAGGAAGTGGCTGTCTCCCTGTGAATGGAATGTGAGAGAATATAATGTGTAACACTGTTGCAAGAAGCTTTTAGTCTGCTCCTTTTCCTTTCTGCTGACTGGATTTAGACAAGAGTGAAGCTCTAATGCCTAGCAGAGCCTGGATCCTTCTAACAAGTGAAAGAAAGCTGCCTGTAAGGGACACCTGCCTTGGAATTGCTATGTGAGCCAGAAATAAACTTCTATACTTTAAATCACTGAAATGGTAAAATCTGTTTGTCACTACAGTTAGCAATATGCTAATCTACTTTTTATTTCCAAGTAATATATAGTTTACTTAAATATATTCACTAAGTATGTACTATGTACATGCTTACTATGTACATGCCATGTGCATGAAAAATACAGAGGAATCCCAGCACTTTAAGAGACCAAGACGGGAGGATCTCTTGAGTCCAGGACTTCTAGACCAGCCTGGGAGTCATAGCAAGACTTCATCTACAAAATATCAGAAAATTAGCCAGGCGTGGGGGCACATGCCCATAGTCCCAGCTACTCAGGAGACTGAGCCCAGGGGATTAGGCTGAAGTGAGCTGTTATCTGAGCCACTGCACTCCAGCCTGGGCGATGGAATGAGATTGCAACTCAAAAAAAAGAAAGGAAGGAAGGAAGGAAGGAGGGAGGGAGGGAGGGAGGGAGGGAGGGAGGAAAGAAAGAAAGAAAGAAAGAAA